ACCGCCGACGTAAGCGATCATCTACGACACCTCCGCGCCGTGATCTCCGAGCTTCGTCGCCACCAGCTATTCCTCAAGCGCAGTAAGTGTGCCTTTGGCGAGGGCACTGTCTCCTACCTCGGACACATCATCTCCGAGACCGGGGTCGCCATGGATCCAGCCAAGGTGCAGGCCATCCTTGATCGGGCGGTGCAAGGCTTCGGCTCGGCGATGCGTGGCTTCCTCGGCTTGGCGGGTACTACCGCAAATTCGTCCCACAACTACGGCACCGTCGCCGCCCCACCGACAAATTCCTCCTCAAGAAAGAAGGGTTCTCCAGGAACGACGCCACATGCTGCGTTCACCGCACTCAAGGCAGCACACCTCGCGCCCATCCTCTCAATGCCGGACTTCACCAAACCGTTCACCGTCGAGTGTGATGCTTCCTCCCACGGGTTCGGCGCGGTCCTCATCCGATCCGATTGCCTTCTTCAAGAAGCGGTCGCGCCCACGCCATCGCGCTTCGCCGCCTCGGCGGGAGCTCATTGGCCTAGTCCACGCCAGGCGACACTCGGAGGCCGTACCTGCAGGGCGCCGCTTTCGTGAAGACGGATCACTATAGCCTCAAATATCTGTTGGATCGGCCCTTGCGGCGATTCCCCAACACCATTGGGTGGGGAAACTACTCGGCTTCGACTTCTCGGTGGAGTATAAACCGGGTGCGGCCAATGCCGTGGCGGACGCCTTGTCCCGCCGCGACACGGAGGACCAGGCCATCCTCGCCCTATCGGCCCCTCGGTTCGACTTCGTCACGCGCCTTCGTCAAGCCCAGGACGCCGACTCAAGCCTCGTCGCGCTCCGCGAGGAGATCACTGGGGGCACCAGAGGCGCGCCGTGGTCCTGGCGAGATGGCATGGTGCGCTTCAACGGCGGCTCTACATTCCCTCATCCGGAAATCATGCGTGGCCGTGCACGAGGAGGGGCATGAGGCGCCCAACAGACGATGCATCGATCGCTGCGTCGCGATTTCCATTTTCCTAACATGAAGCGCTTGGTGCGAACTCGTGGTTCGCCTCGTGTGCCAAAGGTACAAGTCCGAAACACCATCTCTGCCGGTCTCTTTTCCCTCTACCAGGCCGCAGGGGTTTGGACCGACATTCTCGCCGGATTTACGTCGAGCGGCCGCCTCGTCCGTGGGTAAGTCACTCATCCTCACGGTGGTGGACCGGTTCAGCAAGCATCGCCACTTTATCCGTTGGCACACCCATACTCCGCCGAGTCCGTCGCCCGAGCTTTCTTCACACCGACATCGTCCGGCTCCACGGGATACCACGATCGATGGTGTCGGACGCGACCCGTCTTCACTTCGACGTTCAAGCGCGAGCTCATGCGCTGTTGGGCACCAAGCTTCACATGACCACGCTTTCCATCCACAATGGACGGGCCGATTCAGCGGCTAACCGGGTCATCATTATGTACTTGAGGTGTCTTACGGTGACCGACCGCGTCGATGGTTGCGTACTGGCTCCCATGGGCGGAATTCATCTTCAACACCGCCTACCGATCGTCTCTGCGCGACCACGCCGTTCGCGTCGTCTATGGCGGGACCCGCCGTCCATTCGGTCGTGACGAGCCAGCGAAGTCGCGGTGCTCTCTTGTCGCCCGCAAAGATGGAGGAACGCGCGAATTTCTTGACGACATCAAGTGCCGGTGGAACAGCACGAGCTCTTCGAACGCGCCACTACGACGCGGGCCATCGGCGGTCCACGTACCGTGTGGGCGATTGGGCCCTTCTCCGGCTTAGGCATCGCGCGCGCGGCATCTCTTCCACAGAACTTCGACGGGCAAGCTCCGGCCTCGCTACTACGGCCCCTACCGCGTCATCCGAGTTGATCAACGAGGTCGCGGTTCGCCTCGCTCTTCCTCCCGGCGCCCGTATTCACGGCGTGTTCCATGTGGGCGTCCTCAAGAAGTTCGAAGGGCCTCCGCGGACGCTCCACCACCATTGCCGGTCTGCACCATGGCGCGGTGGTTCTGAACCGGACCGGGCGGTGCGCTGTCGGCTCGCCTGCGTGGCGTCCGGCTGCAAAAGTTGATCCACTCGGAAAGGTGAGTCGGCAAAGATCCTCCACTTGGGAAGACGCCGAGACGTTCACGCCAAGCATCCTAACGTTTCACTCGAGGACGAGCCGAGTCTCGACGGGAGGAGATGTCATGTGGGGCGCGCCCTATACTCGACGTGGGGGGCCCGCGACATCCGTCGCCTCACAGAAGGCTGGCGCTACCAAGGGCGGAGAGCGCCGAGGAGGCGTCAACCATCGGTGGCTAGGAAGGAAAGATAGGATAGTTTCCCTCTTTTCGCCCACAATTTTAGGAATAATTAGCTCTAGTTGGTTTGGGCCTTAGGCCATATATATATATCTTGTAATCGACTATGGGGAATAAGAAGTTATTTCCTAAATCCTCTCTCTTCTACAACCAACTAAGCCGACGGTGAGGGGTAAAACCTCGCGGGCGACGGAACGAGGTTACGAACTCCGTGAGTCATGGTCCGGCTATATAACGCCTTGACACACCCTTCCACGACGTAATCGGCGCATCTCCGTCATCATCATGGCGCCCCTGAGAGCAGCTCCATCGACATGGCAATCGACCACAATCTGCGTCAACCTCGCCATCTTCAAGACGGCTTCTTCAACCCGGCAACTATTGCGCCCTCACGCTCGGCTACCTCGACATCAGCACAAAGGGCTACCGCCTTGCATGAGGACTCATCGGCTTCTTCTCCAGCCACATCATATGCGCCGCATCGATCGTTATATGATTGCAGAGGATGTTAGCTTCACTTCTTCTCCGGTCTCACCGTCTGCGGCGCTCCTCAGATCATGGGGGATGTTAAAGTAACTAGGAATAGTACCACATTGTCTAACCACGTGAGGTGTTAGTCCTATGTACTCTATATAATCAGCCCATGAGGCCCAATGCAATACAACACAATCTCCACCAATTATATTCTCCTTCAAAGCCCAACAGATAAGAAAAATGGTATCTACTGCCACGCTTTGATAGCTAGGCACCTATCCATTCTCCCCACTTACACTAAAATCATGAATAAGACGAGGGAAATAACGTGGCATCTTTTCCAATCAGGTATGCTGACATTTGCTCTAACAATGGATTTTTCTACTAATAAAAAAGGACGATGCTCTCCACAAACCGTTTATCATTGATATACATCAGTGCCTTACTTTTCCATGATACTCGAACAACAATCGTTGCACAGAAATTGTGCATAGAAGAGCCTATTAGGATACCCCAACTTTCTTGGGACTAAAAGACTTTGTTGTTGTCGTTGTTCGAGAAGGGAATACTGCAAATTTTCAAAGAAACAAATGGAAAACTGGGTCCATCATTTTCAATAAAAATGGAAGTGGAAAATAAGGTGTCCCTTCCCTCCCAGGAAAAGGAAATATTTGCGGAAGGGGTGGAGGTCTGATCATTCGATATCTCTGATATATTAAGATTTCCTATCAGATAAAGAAGGAATAAACTATATAGTAAATTACAGGATTACCAATTGAGAGGAAGTAGTCTATTAAGTATCTTATGTAAGACCAGAGGCAAACCAGATTTGCTTGCTCAGAACAGACAGAGATCTTTGGGTTGTCAGGAAAATTTATTGAAATAATGAGAAGGCATCAGACTTTTCATTATGTTCTGTACTTAATTTTCAACATCAAACTATTACGTTACAGAAGATCAGAAAATCAATAACATTCAGTCACAGGTTGGTATAGTACCATTCTACTGCATCATTAGTATAGTTCACCATAATAGAACATAAGAACTTACAGTAAAATGGAGATAGAACAGTGAATGAGGCGTTATGAGTAGTAACCTCACATAGGTTTCCACCATAGCAATGCTAGGGACAGCCTTTAAAAAGAATGCAGAGGTAAAAATGAAAATCAATAAATATTTGCTTACAAACATACATTTCTTATGGTGCAGATACTTCACTAGAAATCTGAAGCCTAGAGATGATTTCACAAGGTGGAAATAAATTACTTCAAATAATGTAAGTAAACCTATGGCGATTTGCATATACATAAATTGTTAGCTAGATTCTTTAATGTGATATATTGTGTATTGCAGTAATATTTAAATCATACCCTGGTTGTAAATACTATAACAAGTGAGTGTTAGTTAGATCCACATGAGCGCTTGCAAGACCAACTAAAAAGGTAGACAAGACTTAAAAATAGATTAATAGAAGGAATCAACTTAGGAACTTAGGTCTTGGCAGCAATTATTGTTTGGTGTTTCTACCTGGCCAAGAAATATGGTCTCTTCAAGCTGGAACGCAAGCTTCAGACAAAGATTGATAGACATTCCAGAAAGCAATGGCATTGACATAGGATAAGATGCACGCATCATCATTGTTCTTTCATTTGACTGCATATTAGGCCCTTGAATTAAATCTGCTATTCCAGCTGATGTAAACCAGACATTAATGCTTCACAAGCTGGTTGTGCCAAAGTGAAGGAGAGAACCTAGAACATCCTTGTCACCCTCTCAAGAATATATGTCCACCTGATTTAAGCTGCAGTAATATTTTTTCTCGAACACAGCTGCAGCAATATTTTTTCTTGAACAAAGCTGCAGCAATATTGTATATCCACAACTATTTCTATGGCATTCAATTGAAATAAAGAACATCATGGCACAATGCTTGGGAGCAGACCTAGGAGTAGCTCTCACGATCAAAGAACGTCTGCATTCCCCGGTTGCAGCAAGAGCAACACTGGCAGCAATCTCTGATGTCCTGAACACCATGAATTCAGCATCTGCAGACCCAATTGTCAAACTTTAGTGATTGGTATCTACCAAATTAACAAATTCTACATGCCGATTCATGAGGAGCAGGAATCATATGTGATTAAATCTTAGAGTTGTACCTTTAGCAGTGCTCAATATATTGGTCAAATTCCCAGTCAAATTTCATGCTTGTGAACTTGTCATCACCAGAAGTCTCCACAAGAGCATACCCCATTGCTGAACTTGTGAAATCTGACAGCATCCCTCACAAGAATATCACGGCCAGTAATCTTAGATATGAACTTTGTAGCATTGTGACAATCTACACAAACACGCAGATTCTTGACAATTCGAATAGGCATTTCCTGTGGAACAAATATTAATCCGAAGGCAATCGCAAGCTTCTCGCTGTGATGGCTGACCATGTGAACCTTATCAGTATCTGCAACATCATGCAGCACTGAACTGACATCAGGTTTGTATCCTTCTTCAAGCATCTTGGAGTTGAGCCACTCGAGTTTTTCATAAATTCCCTTGGAGCAGGGGTGAGACTGGTCGTCAGCAGAAAAGATGTGAACTTTATTCTTATACTTGATCCAGCTACAACCTGGCTCCTTCTTCACTTGCCTGTCCCTCATTCCACGCCTTAGCTGGGCAACCTCATTCCATTGACCTTTAGCAGCATGCATGCTGCATAGCAACACATAGCTTGCCGGGTTCTGGGGATCGATTTCTAAGAGATTCTCGGCTGCCCATTTGCCGATTTCCATGTCACCGCGCAACCTGCAAGCACTCAGCAATGTTCCCCATCCAATTGCGTCAGGGTGCACCGGCATCTGCTTTATGAACTCCTCAGCTTCTTTTAATTTCCCAGATCTGCTATACAAGTCAATCATACAGGTGTAGTGATCATCTATGGGCACAATACCATGGTCCTTCTGCATGGAATGGAAGTAGCTGCGGCCTTTCTCAACAAACCCTGCACGACTGCAAGCAGAAAGAACACCGATAAATGTTACTCCATCAGGCTTCACGCCCTTAGCCAACATCTTCTCGAACAAATCAATAGTTTCTTTTGCCTTCCCATACTGAGCGTATCCAGAGACAAGTGCTGTCCAGGAGACCTGATCATGAAATGACATCTCATCAAACAATCTGTGCGCATCCTCAATGCTACCACACTTCCCATACAAGGTAACTAGTGCATTGGACACTGTGATGTATGGCATCAATCCTGACACAAGCGCTAGGCAGTGGAACTGAGCTCCTTCCTCTAGGCTTGCTAGGTTAGCGCAAGAACTTATAACACTTCCTAGGGTGTAATCATCAGGATCAATGCCATCTCTTTGCATCTCAGAGAACACCCTGACAGCCTCCTCACTGCACCCATTCTGTCCATAACCAACAATCAATGCAGTCCATGAGATGATGTTTTTGCATTTCATCCTCCTGAAAACAGTTTCTGCCAGTTTGATGCTCCTGCACTTTGAGTACATGTCAACAAGAGCACTCCCGACAAAGACATTGTCATCGTAACAAGTCCTGATTATGTAGGCATGGATCTGTTTCCCCTGTTCCAAGGCTGAAATGGCACCACAGGCTGTAAGGATGCTTCCGAAGGTATACTGATCAATAGCAATGCCCTGAAACCTCATCCTCCTAAAAATGTCAAGAGCCTCAGACTCCAATCCATTCTGTGTGAACCCCGTAACCATTGTGGTCCAAGTAATGGAATCTCTGTCAGTCATGACCTCAAACAACTGCCTTGCTTCTTCAACCATCTTGCATCGGAGCAGCCCAGTGATCATCGTGTTATACATCACCACATTCTTGCCCTCCACTTCATCGAAGACTCGCTTGGCATCCCCAACGAGGCCCATCTTGGCATACATATCAACCAGTGGGCTCCCGACAAAGGGGTTCGCCCCAAACCCAAGCCGCAGAGTCTGACAATGAAACTGCCTACCAAGGGCGCGGTCACCCAAGGTTGATGCTGCCAAGACCATGGCCGACATCGTGATCCGGCTAGGCCTGACGCTACTGTCCGCCTGAAGTAACGCGTGGTACACCCTGACCGCCCGAGCATGCGAGCCACAGCCAGAGAAGCCGGCGATGACCGCATTGTAGGAGACGATATCGCGCTGTGTCATGGATGCGAAGAGGGCCTCCATGTCATTGAGGAGCCTGGCGTGGGCGAGGGTGGAGAGGAGCGCGTTGTAGGTGAAGAGGTTCGGGTGAGGCATTGCGTCGAACACGCGGCGCGCGCGCGCGTGGCGGCCAGCCTTGCCATAGGCGGTGAGCAGGTGGTTGAGGAGGTAGGTGGGCGGCGGGTGCGGCAGGGTCCTGAGGATGAGGCAGTGGAGTGCGCCGGCTACGTGCGGCTCGGTGCGGGCGGCGGCAGAGAGGAGGGCAGCGTACTGGCTGCTGAGCGGGCTGGACATGGCACGCGGGGCGGAGGGGAGTTGCTTGTGGAACGGGAAACCTGGGGAACGAAGCGCACAAGGACTATACGGGCCTCCCTCCATCCAGTAAGCTCTGTGTGAACCCAAGCCCAAACAATGGTATTGCAAAATGGGCCAGCTGCGTTAGTTGGGCCATGAGTTGCTTCGTCCCCATCAAAATATTTCCAAGATAAGGAAACAAAAAAAAAGTAATTTTATAGATAAAAGAGATTTATGCTCTGGAGTGTGAACTAGAGACATCATAAAGCACAGTACACTACAACCTAAAATGTCCCATTCTTTTCTTTGCTAGGCTTTCCAGTAAACCTCGTTATTTCAAGGCAACAAAGAAGCCCATAGGTTGCAATCCTGTTCTTCTTCCTAACACAGAGTGGAGGACCTGGTGATTGATAATAAAAAAAAAACTGCATGGTTAATCGGCCCAGATGTTCCGTAGGAGATACCCGGCACCGTCTAGCGATGCAAACGCGCGAGTGGACCAAGCCACCGCGGTTTGAACACCTGGCCGGACATATCTCGGCTTAGGAGCTCATGCCATGTGATTGCATCAACGATCAGAGTTTTAGGTTGTTTACAGTCACGACTCGCGTACTGTACGCAGCAGCACACTATTCACACAAATAATGACGTGGTCTCCACAGCATATATACTCTACGATAATGGACACTCATACAAAGATCACCGATCGTGTTGATACGAAAGAACTGAAAGAAATGCCTCAATGCCCCCAGCCAGATGCCCTTTTTCGGGCCAATTGTCTGGTGCAATTTCTGCCACAGCCTGACACGAAGAACTGACGATTGGGCACCAAAAGTGTGATGCTACAGAAGGAGAGCAGTTTGCATTTTGGAGTTCTTGCTTCTTATTAGGCATAACTGCCGCTGATAAGATGTGATAGACAGGACCGACTAGCAGTAAATCTAGCGGGTATAAACTTACATTTATGATATAGTAACCCCTAGAACATGAACTAAAACTGAGAGATAGAGAGAGTGGATGAGAGTGGGGAGGCGTTACCGACCATCGGCAGGCTTGGCGGAGGAGCTGCCCATGGTGTCGATGTAGGGCAGCAGTGGAGTCCGGCGGCGGTGTCGAAGGTGCGGTCCATTGGCGGCGGCGAAAGCGGTGGCGCTTTCCGTCGCTCACAGCACCCCCTCTAGATCGGCTTAGGGTTTGTAGGTGGGGATTGTGGCGGCGGCAGTGAACCTCGTGTTCCGGCCCCACCTCCTTTTTATGGCGCTACGCGACGGGGGCCCGCCAACCATTGATTCGGTTGGACGCCCCCGATCAGGGCACGGGATCAAGGCCCGACTCAGTCGTTGGACCGAGTCGGAGGAGATCAACCTAACATTCTCCCCCTTGATCTCAACTTATAACTTAAACTTAAATTACTTTATCTTATTCTCATTCCATCACAGATCAGTGCATAGAGTGTGCATCATCATCACGGTCAGTTGCCATTATATTAACAGTTACAATGCACCTCTCTGTTTTAAAATAGATTCTCATCTAGGCCCTTATTGTCCATGAATCATAGGCTTTCCATTAAACCCATGTCGGCTAAGTGTTCTCTGAACACATTGGGTGGTAAGCCTTTTGTAAGCGGATCCGCGAGCATCTTTTCTGTACTTAAGTGCTCAAGACTAATATATGATCCCGGACTTTATCTTTCACAACATAATACTTTATGTCAATATGTTTGGCAGCACCACTTGACTTATTGTTGTGAGCATAACATACTGCTGGATTATTATCGTAGTATAACTTGAGTGGCTTATGTATATCGTCTACCACTTTCAACACGGGTATAAACTTCTTCAGCCAATTCACCTGCCCTGTGGCCTCATAACACGCTACAAACTCAGAATACATCGTAGACGATGTAGTGACGATTTGCTTGGAGCTTTTCCACGATATAGCTCCTTCTGCGAGAGTAAATATGTATCCTAACGTAGACTTTCTATCATCTCCCGCATAATCTGAATCTGAATACCCCTCTATGTGTAGGGAATCAGATCTTCTGTATGTTAACATGAGACATTTTGTGCCTTGCAAGTAACGTAAAACTTTCTTTACCAGTCTCCAATGTTCTATTCCTGGATTACTCTGATATCTGCCAAGTAACCCGGTAACAAACGCTATGTCAGGGCGTGTACACACTTGAGCATACTGTAAACTTCCGACAACTGAAGCATATGAAACCGCTTTTATTTGATCGATCTCATATTGGTTTCTGAGACATTGAAATTCCCCAAATCTATCGCCCTTGACTATGGGAGTAGGTGAAGGCTTATAATTTTGCATATTGTATTTATTTAGAACCTTTTCTAAATATGCCTTTTGTGATAATCCTAAAACCCTCTTTCTTTTATCTCGGTGAATCTCTATTCCTAGAACGAACGAAGCTTCATCGAGATCCTTCATATCAAAATTCAAGGACAAGAACTTCTTCGTTTCTAGTAGTATATTAACATCACTACTAGCAAGTAAGATGTCATCCACATATAAGATTAGAAAAATATATTTCTCATTCTTGAACTTTGCATAAACGCAATTATCCTCTATATTTTCTTGAAAACCCAAACTTCCTTATTGTACTATCAAACTTTAAATACCAATGTCTTGATGCTTGTTTTAATCCGTAAATTGATTTCTTAAGGCGGCATCCCATACGTTCTTTTTCTTCCACAACAAAACCTTTTGATTGTGCCATGTAAACATTTTTCTCCAAATCCTTGTTTAGAAACGCCGTCTTTACATACATCTGATGTAATTCTAAATCGTAATATGCTACAAGTGTCATTATGATTCTAAAAGAATCCTTACATGAGATTGGAGAAAATATCTCATTATAATCTATGCCTTCTCTTTGCGTAAAGCCTTTCGCCACAAGTTGCACTTTAAATCTTTCTACATTCCCTTTATAGTCATATTTAGTTTTGTAGACCCATTTATAACCTACTGTCTTGCCTCATTTAGGAATTGTTTCTAAGTCCCAAAAACCGTTGGTATTCATTGATCTTATTTCATCCTGCATGGCTTTAAGACACTTTGATGAGTGAGCGCTTCTCATGGCTTCTTCAAATGAGGTGGGATCACCCTCCATTTAAAATTCTTCACATTCATAGACTTCGTAGTCATCAGGAATGACTGATTTTCTGACTCTTTGAGACCTTCTAGGGGCCTCGTTAGTTGACGCTTGTTCTATATCAGGCTATTATTGCTCTTCCTCATGTGTGATAATGGGTTCTATAGGATCATGAACTACAAGTTCCTCATGTTCATTCATTATTGCCATAGGAGAACTAACAACAGGTGCGGTTACTATAGCGTCTTGCACTGTTGGTACAGCAACAACAGGTAGCATGAAGAATGGCTCCTGAACCATTAGAGTAGGCACGTATACCCGCTTCTCTTCAAAATTAATTTCTCACGCTATCATGCTCCCTCTGACTATATCATCCTCTAAGAACACAACATGTCTTGTTTCTATAAACTTCGTATGTCTGTCAGGACAATAGAAGCGATAACCTTTTGATTTTTCTGGATGGCCAATGAAATGTCAACTGACTGTCTTGGAGTCTAGCTTCCCTATATTTGGGTTAAAGACTTTAGCCTTAGCTGGACAACCCCACACACGTAAATAGTTAAGTGAGGGTTACTTTCCTGTCCATAACTCATATGGTGTTTTGGGCACCGACTTGCTTAGCACTCGATTAAGAATATGAATGGTGGTTTTTAACGCCTCCATCCATAAACTTATCGGTAGAGTAGAGTAACCTATCATACTTCTCACTATATCCATTAAGGTACGGTTACGTCTTTCAGCTACTCTATTCTGCTGAGGCTCGTCCGGTGTAGTGTACTGGGCAACTATGTCATTTTTCTGTAAGAACCTTGCAAAAGGTCCAGGAACTTGGCCATATGGGGTGTATCGACCATAGTACTCTCCCCTACGGTCGGATCTTACTATCTTAATCTTTAAGTTGTGCCGATTTTCTACTTCAGCCTTAAATATCTTAAATTTATCAAATGCTTCTAATCTTTCCTTAATTGGATAAATATAGCCATAACGAGAATAATCATCTGTGAATGTTATAAATAAATCATAACCATCCACACTCTTCATAGGAAAATGACCACAGATGTCTATGTGAATTATTTTTAAAATTCCTACGCTTCGTTTAGCATCTTTTTTATTTTCTTAACATACTTTTCTTTTATGCAATCAATCCATTGTTCTAAAACAAAAAATTCTAATGGTGAAAGAATTGATTTCTTAATCAATCGCTCTGTTCTCCCCCTCGAAATATGGCATAAACGACAGTGCCATAATTTCGATGATATATCATGAACTCTCTTATGATTATTTCTTGCATTCATAGACGAGAAAGCATTCTTATTCTCAGTGTTCACAGCATTCACATTCTTAGAAAGTGATAACAAATAAGGTTTGTCTTGTCTGAAGGCAAGACCAATACACATGTCTCGGGCTGGTTGGCTGCGTGACTACGATCACCGCGCTCGGGCGTTCGGCGTCGCCGCGTTGGTCGTGCTGCTGCGCGTGGCCGGCCGTGGCTGCCTTTGGCCTGGCTATGGCTCGGCTGCCGCTGGCCCCGCCGCGCCATGATGAAGCCACTGCCGACGCTATCACCTCGTCGTCGCATCCGCAACTGCAGCCCCGTCGCGCTGCTGACCCACCTCGCGCCACAATGCTGTCGTTGTCGTCGCATCATCATCGCGTCCGTGCCTGTCTGCTGCATCTCTACGTTGTTGCTGGCCCAATGCGTATCGCCTCTGTCGCGCGCACGTGGTAGGGCTCGTCGTCGCCTTGTCATTAATGACACTACGGCCGCGTGGGCCACGTCGGTCGGGCACGCGCGCGCCTATCGGCTAGTGCCGACGCCTGGGTCTCCCAATCTCGCCGCTCACGTCCCGCCAAGGCGAGGACAAGCCGAGGCCACCTGCCACGCCCCATC